AAATGCGCAAGCTTATTCTAATTAACCAACTGTGTATCTCTTATGATTTTTGATTTCGCCGTCCAGTTTACTGTTCTTTCTTATTTTGAACACACTGCATATTAAAGAAACAACTTAGGTATGAGTCAAATTCTCTATAAAAAAAAAAACAAAATGCAATATAATAGGTATGTTGAATATCGTATTAGGCATTCATGGGGCCTGGGACTACATTATATTCTAGAAAGGTGAGAGGGCACAACTAACCGTCCCTAAAAACACACGACATTTTTTGTAATTAGCATAAACCTCACGATTGAATAACATGAAATATGTTAATCTTTAATCAATGACATTGCATTGTGTACTATAGATACTGAAAAATGTATTAATTATGTTTTAATTAACAACAGTGAGAGTATCAATAAAAATAGATTTTTCCATTGTTGCTATACGAGTATAATATGTACATCAAATTGACGCCTTGGTCACCTAAATAATGCGTTTTAATATTTTTCCTTCATAAATATGATTTTGAAATATTGTATGGCCCATCACATTTCTTGAGCAAACAGACTCAGACAGAAATTATGATTCATAAAGATCCGCTTGATAGAAATAAAAGTTAAACTTCGAAATTTAGGTACATAAACCTCGACATAAATGTACACGTATATGTAGTTGGCAAATTTTACATTGGTTATAAATGCAACTGCAATAGTCCAGGAAATGAAGGTTTTACACCGGAAATTTTTTCGAAATGAATTGATTAACTTGAAATTTTGACAGTAAGGGGGGAATGGCCTACATAAATAAATATCTACTTGCCTCGTAATTCAGGGAAGGCAATTACAATACAAACTGCCAGGCAAGTTAAGAAGACAGTCAAGTGAATATAATCAGGTTCTATTTACTTGCCTACTTGCTTTCCTTTTCTACCAAATGTTCGTGCAAACCAGTATTTTTTGTCACGTTGGGAAGACGAAAACGCTCTTTAGAAGAGCTGCACTGCAAGTATGATAGTTTTCGGAGTGAAATACGAATATCTGAATTTTCCAGGCCGAACCCACGCAGTTTCTTCTTTTTTTTAGTTATATCATTAACTTCAACTAATAAAATTACTGTCTTTTTAATACGTTGAACATCCATCTCACTAGCACAAAACTTAAATGAACTTGCTCCAACCACTTGCTTTAGTACTTCATTCAAATTCAAGTCGTATAGCTTTTAAAAAAACAAAAAAAATTCTTTTTTAAATTGCTGTATGACCAATACGAACTGAGTTATAGGTGAGCTCTTGTTCGTCAAAAGCTGAATTAGAGAGTGTCAAAGTCAAATAACGGCAAAACTATATGCATTTTTCGACGAAAAGTTGTAGACTTTTTTAAAGTATTTAAAAAAAACCTTCCTTCTTTGTTTAAGATAAAACTTTGCCATAAAAATTAAGCGAGTTATGATGGAAGTAAGGTAGAAAATAAAAACTGTTTTTATTACAAAAAATGCATGTTATTACAATATTATATATACAGGATGGCACAACGAAAACGAAACAGACTGAATAACTCGCAAGAAAATACTTTTTGGAAAATACAGTTTTTACTTCAAAATGTATACCCCTGTAAGAACGGTAAGAAAATGTATACCCCGTAAGCACGGTTGCCACCCCTTCAATAATTTTAAATTGAACGTTGGGTCGAGTGACACATCCTTGGAAAGGGTCTTAATTTCCTACACATGGCTTGTATTATTGATTATTATTATTATATTAAAAATTACTTTATTTAAAAAATGTAAATAACTTAGAAATCACCAATTTTAGATATAGGACAACGTCATATCAATTGGATGAAAATTGTGTCTAGATTTAATATCTGAAAAAAAAGAAGGGATATTCTATTTGAAAAAAAGCGAGTTTTTCTTTAAAAAACTGAAAAAAATATTTTTATAATTTATGAAGATCCTGTAATGTTTTCTGAGAAATCATCTTTGTAATTTGACTAACCAGCATTTTTTATAGGTACCCCCAAAATTTTATTGTTCTACTGTACTGAGGTACAAAGTGTTAAAGTACTGGCCTTATCTGTCGATTTTTTTCTTAAAATACAAATATCTCCAAAACGGTTAAAGATAGCCATAGATATTGTTCTGACTTTTTTTTAAAAAAAGGAACCTACATGTGAAATAATAAAAAATTGGGGTTGCCATTTAAAATAATGAAGTTGGTACCTACTTCCGGTATAACCGGAAATTTTAGAAAATGCTACTATTTTAAAAAAGTAGTTCATGGTCGAGAACCTTTGTGTGAAAATTTTTATAAGCGTATCTTCTCTACTTTATCATATAAGGCTAATTGTCTCTTCCAAAGGAATACCCTGTATACCTTCAAAAATGGGAAGATATTTCTTACTTCTCATTTTTTGTCGCTGAATCGTGTTTTAAGTCAATTGCTTGTTCAAAATTAAAGGGACTATCTCAAAAACGGTGTTTCGGGGAATGTACCTGCTCACAGCGGTAAAATGAATCGTCTGGACGAGCGAGACATATCTGCTGGTGTTGTCAAAACTTTCAGTGCAAATATCTGCAGAGCGGAGTGTCGGATGAAGGTACTCTGAAAACGCGATTATATAACGTAGATTATAAATGTGCACCAGGAAGCCTTTAAATCTTTATGTCTAATGCGCTCCCTCCGCCTCTCCATTTCATTTACTAAGAACGTAAACATGGATAAATACAGGGTGCCCATTATGTATGGAATATAGTATACAGTGCGTGTATCTTACATTGGAACATACGATTTTGCAAGGTTCATCAGGATCGCGGGCTTGTCTTGCACTATTGAGACCTCTCTTTAGACAGCATTTTTGAAAATTATCTGCAGGGCGGTAAATTTGAAGGTAGCAGTTGTGCATTGCAGCTACTACCCATTGGAACTACACCTATAGGTTGATGCGTTTTTTTTTAAATGGAACATCGGGAAACGCCATTGTATGCAAAATGTTCCAATTATAAGATAAACGCATTGTAGGTATATTATATTCCATACATAATGGGTACCCTGTATAACATGCTACTGCCTTATAACTCAGTAATTTACAACAAATACATTTACTGCACAAGAGTTTTCACAATTTATACTCGTTTGGTATTTCTTTAGCAGTTTCATGCTAAACCAATCACGTTCGACGGACCACACATTGCCCTTCCTCGTATGTTCGTTTGTCGCAATAATTCCTCAGATGGTATGGACAGGAAGAGCAGAAAATAAATAAATAAATAAATAAATAAATAAATAAATAAATAAATAAATAAATAAATAAATAAATAAATAAATAAATAAATAAATAAATAAATAAAAAATCCTACAGGCAGCTCATGGCTCTGTTGTACCCTGCGGTGACTACTACCCTGTCCATACACAAATAGCACATCGCTATCGGCTGGCAACATTGTGTAACATCGGTGCTTTCACCACACTAATGATTAATGAAGTGATGAATAAAAGGCAAATTTACCGAATAGTAGATACCTTATTTTTACTTGTGTTTGAACATAATTAATAGTGCATTGCGCCCCCGAGTTTGGGAATCACTTCTCTAGCCAGTCATGCTCTCAGCATGTAAAATTTCTATATTGAGGTCATTTCTTTTGTTTTGTACTTAAAATACCCCGTACTTTGGTGTGTCACTCATAATGACGCTGTTTGGTAGGGTCCAAAACAATCTATTTGCAGGTAATCCTAGCTAGATCTTGCTATTCCGGTTTAATGGCTCCGCGTCGATGACGAGATGTTTTCGTGGAACTAGTACCTACCTACCTACACTTTAAATTGAAAAATGTTTTCCCAATTGCAGATAAAAAAACGTATCTTTATATCTAAAAAAATAGGTAGGTACATATAAATACTCCACGATCAAATCCAGACTTTTACAAGGGGTTCTAATAAAATTAAATTAAACCTTCTCTATTATGTAAATTACATTGTTCGCGAAATTGAAAAAACTGTAAATGTTTATCATCGGTTCTTGTCATAAAATATTAATGAATCAATAAACGGGTTGGTGATCTGATGAAGTGGAGACATTTAGAATATTTTGACAGTTTATTAATCTCTACCGTCAAAGCAAATTACGGTGTACTTGTTACAAATCTTCCGTTCAGCCCTTTGACGCGTTCTTCAATAACGAGTTATTGAAGGTGTACACGGAGCCTTGGAAGGATTAATCACCTTTTTAAATTAATTGGACTGAATTGCAAAAAAAAGCTGACCTTCTTTATGTAAGGTCGAAATCGGAAACAAAAGTAACACGCATAATCGGCAATTGTAGAAGATAAAGGAATTGAAAAAGATAATCGAAAAAGTATTTGCAACATGTAAGTATAATACAACAACTTCCGTTCACATGAAAGCATCGGCACCAGACGCGAAATTAAATAACTTGTTTAATGCTAGGTCGGCACATCAGACTTGTGGAGGCACATGTGCAATGCGTCATCAGAAAAGACTACACCAACATTCAACATATGATTGACCATATGATTCCTAATATAGAAATAAAACCGAGTCAAACACCGACTGTCGACAAGGGATGAGCATTCGGCTCTTTAAAGTTTAAATGGACAACTTTCCCGAGCAATACATCACTTACTTCAACCCCTGACCCGCTAAACTCCTTCCTGTTAGCTAGACATACTAATTATGCCTTAAATTAGAATGAATGTGACGATTTTAATGAGTGACCTTTTTTTAAATTGACAAAAAGCGGTCGGGACCACCGACGATTTTCTTTGCCCGCAAGCTCTTCGTTTTCGCATTGTTTTACGTATTAAAGCGAAATTAAAAAGCGATCGCGAAGTAACGTTATGAATGGCGGCAAAATATTGACGAAGCGGGACATCGTCTAAAGTTTATAGTTCCAAAAGCTCCGAGCTTGAGCGGGAATCTTTCAAGTGGTGGGGATACAGCCGGCTCTCGTCAACTCCAGACTGGGGATTAGAGAAAATCTGAATTCATTCCGCTCATTTCCATCGAACGAGAAACTTGAAAGCATTCGAAAGCTCGCGCAAAACTTCGCGAGAAAAACTGAAAAGACTTGTAATGAAGCCAACTCAAATCATTCCTAAAGTTTAAAGATATTTGCAACCAAAACAATTCTACTTAAGCGCCTGTGATATGAAAACCAAGCAGTGAATTTTTTAAAGTGTTTTATGTGTTCAATTTTAATTGCTAAGAAACAATTCGGCCGGTATTCCGCGAATTGCAAATATGGACTTGATCTGTTGCGAATTACCGACGACCGAAACTAGAGCTTATCCCGATCAAGTATTATTATCGTATCGCGTGTTGAATAATCTCTTGAAGAGCGAAGAACAATATGCGCTACCCGCTTCTTTTCTACGTAAACAAACTGAGGTGACACCCCAAATGCGCAAGATTGTGGCCGAGTGGATGATGGAGGTAAGAATTTCCAGAAACTCGGCACAATTTGTTTCCTCCACGTTTGCAATTCATCGGGATTTAAAATCAGTGTAGCCGCTGCATGTTCGTACTAACTAGTAATGTAGAATTATTGTAAAAACTTTGAAGAAAATGCAGGATTTTTCTTAGGGTGTGTGCCGGGAACACGTCACTCAAGGTACGAATAGTTTTTATTCCTTATTTTCTTATCACCCCGATAACGCGTACAGGAAAGTATGGAAAAAGTACATCCTGGCGGTTTATTGTTCGCACGCATCGCTATTGTTTAAATATTTCTAGCGTGAAATCAGCTGACCGACATATGTTTAAATAACTTGATTACGACGGATAGTTTAAATGTCTATTTAAAAGGCACGTTTAAAGGTAAAAGAATTAAAAGTCTAGAGTTCATTATTCTTTAATTAAATTTACACATTATTATTCCGAGTATTCAGCTCGAAGCGGAAATTAACGCCTTATTAAGCAAACTTTTATACATCCTATGGCAGTTTTCTCATCATTCTTAGAGTTAAAGGTAAAGCGAGGCGAAACAGGTGGTCGCCCACCATACCAAATTTGAATACCGAACAGTAAAAAATTGCATTTAAGTTAGTAACAGTCCCGAATTAGTGTCTGTCCCCTATGGTGGCCCCATTCCAGGGCCGTTGTCCTGAGCGGCCTTGGCGGGTTACGATAGCGAAGTTAAAAAGAAATTTGTGGGGAATAAAGTCAGCAATGCCGTGGGAAAATTTACTTACTTAGTTCAATAACTTCCAATCGATATTTTTAAATGAATATATGTGGATAAGATACCATTAGGCACGGATAAATGATATTGTGTTAAATTTATGATTTAAATTTTAAATGCCTGGAAAGTGGTACTATCTTGCTTGATAATAAAGATATTTAGAGCACCTATTACATAACTCACAGTAAATTAAAGAGTTTGTTGATAAGTGTATTTATTTGTCTAGTTTAGTAATGAATGTAGTTGGAAGTAGAGTTGCCACTGCCACTTTTTATTAATGAAATCCTTATATACGTACTTACGTTCCTAATCGCACCGACCGCAATTTCCGTCATATTGTTTAAATTTGTTTTTGACCAAACCTGGATTAAGGGGTTCACTTACAACGTTTTGCTTTCTTTCAGGTATGCGACGAACAGAATTGTCAAGACGAAGTATTTCCTATAGCTGTGAATTTTATGGACCGATTTTTAGCAGTTCGATCGATAAACAAATCACATTTACAATTATTGGGCACGTCGTGCATGCTCGTTGCTTCGAAACTTCGTGAACCTAAACCGTTACCTGCACAAACTTTAGTGTTTTATACCGATAACAGTATCACAATCGAAGATCTAAGGGTAAGTAGTCACTTGCACCCTTAGCGGTAAGCGCCAAGAGCTGTTGTTATTTAACTTAAAGTAGGTTGGCGCGAAAAGTAACCTTATCATTTTATGTGGGCATTTGGTGACCGTGCAGTGATAAGTAACCCCTTCCGTGTTCCTTATTGCTCCCATTCATTAGAGTAATCTTACCAACCTGATTGTTTTAACTTAATAACCGCAATATATCCGCAAGAATCTTATCGTCATATTGTTCCCAATGACACGGTATTTTAAGTTCAAATGAACTTATGAGATTTTACTATTCGGTTATCGCTGTTTTAGAAACGTCGATCGATAATCCACTTCCTTCTCAAGACGAATCCCACATCTCTGTGAAAGGGAATTGTAGTAATTTATCGAATTAAATAAACTGCAATTAGTAAATTAAACTGGCGGTGTCGATAGACTTTAATTATTATTATTACATTTGGGATGTCCTCAACATTCATATTAACTATATCAAGTTCAAAAAGTTATGTTTGTACTCTGACTCATTACGACTATTAACTTATGTGGATTCCTTAAGCTAGTCACACATTCATTAAAGCTTCAGTTAAATAAAATTGTTTCCTACAGGAAGAATGAGATGATTCTATTTATACTTGAGAAGTTCAAAATTCTCCATCGCTCACCTTTATATAAGCTCGTACGCTTAAGAGCCACCCCATACGTACTCGAATATTGTATGCACTTTTATCTACCACGAGAGTGCTGTCCATCAACACACTTATAACTCCATCCTCTTTCGTGTACCCATGAACCAAAAAACGAATTGTGTGATCAGTACATCAAAAATGTATTGTCGATTACTCACAAGACGGATTGTTTTGTATCGTTTGTTCAGATTTAAATTCGCCCATAGTAGTACAAAATAATATGTATCCATAATGTCCCACGATTTTCAGTACTCTGTTCGTATTCGGAAACACGACTTTTAATCAGACTCATATTCAAAAGCACCGATCCTTGATCTCCTAGAAATTGATCGCTGTCTCTTTTCGTTTTCGAGGAACAGACGGCCAAAACCATCTCATAAGGGGAATTTCTTTTGAAAAATTCTCCTAGCAATAAAAGGACTAAGGACGTTTGGCAATGCAGTACATTTCATAAGGTGCCTTAGCCACCTTGGAGGGGCTCTTACATAAGTTGCACCTTAGCCTATAAACTTCTTAGACAAGGAAAGGTATTTGACGAGGTATTTGAGTATATTGGAAACATGTTTAATATTCGTAAAACGTGCATTTCTATCTATGTTTCTACCACTTAATTTTTTCATATCAGGGCGAGATTAATTATTCAACAATAATCAAAGAGGCGCCGTCTTATAAAAATCCGATAGAGACCCCTGAGCAGATATAAAACAATATTTTTCAATGAGACTCTAAAAAACCACCCAATTAAAAAAATTCTAAGTTCCTCCTTACTGGATTATATCTTCACTTTCCACAGCTCTAGGCAGACATTGTACCTATTTCGGGCTAAGATGATTTGTGGCGTAGTGAGGATTGAGAACCACTAACGTAGATAGTCTGTTTTATGGAAGCTATAGTAAAATGCTCAAAACAATTTCGGTAGTATGCAGAGTAAACCAAATTTAACGCCACTAAAAAAACAAAAAAAAACTGCTCCCTTCCGGTAGTTCAAACTGCATTTTCCAAAAAAAAGCTCTGGGACGTCAAGCGCTAGGCATGCAATTGCTAAAATTAAATTTTCCAAAAATGAATTTGGAATGTTTCTAAAATATGCGATACGGTTTAAAAGTTTCCTGAAAATTCTTTTTATTGCCACCGTACGTAGGGCACGTTTGTTCTTAACAATCTACTGATGTTTTATCAGTGAATGAAGGGCCATTTAAATTATTTTGTCATATGGGAATTTTGATTGCTCTTATATTATATACTACCGAAATCGTTCTATATAATTACGACCCTTTATATGTTAAAAGACAAGACATATTAGACACTGATACCATTCATAATTTATTTGTTACTATAGTTACGTATGTTTTTCTAATTTATATCGTTCATTTGTTTATACTTTCTGCAAAACTGTCCTGTCCTGGTGGGGTGGAACGAAATTTGGGTTTTTATTTTTTTTAAACTCATAGTTTTCAAAATATGCGGTATACTATGAAAAGAGACTATGCGTAATATGAGCAAAAGAAAGCAACTAAGATTGCTTAATGAAGCAGCTCAGGTTGAAGTTCTTGGCCAATTTGCCATAAATCCCTCAATGTCAACATTTAGTTTTTTTTTGTTAATTAAAAATTTTTCTTAAATTGTCTTAATGAATATTGACTTTATTGGTATCTCTGGAAAGCATTTTTCAGTAGCTTTCCAACGTTGTGTCACAAGTATGGAGTCATTTAGGATTTTTGAAAAGGGGGGGCTGGGGGGTTGTGACTCATAACGTCATTCTGGTTCCCCCTCAATACCCCCGAAACGGTTTTGCGCGATTTTCAATATCTTTAGTTTGGAAAATATGGCCGACTGCAAGTTTTAAAATTGACACCCCATACCTATAGCTGCACAATATATCAACATTTTGTAAAAATTAGGATTTATGCTGTGATAGGTATGGACAATCGTCCCAAAAATATGCTTCTGGCTCGGCTTCTGGAAGGTCTCATCAAAAGAAACCTACCCTTTTTCATTTTTGCACCCTGGATGTGATATAAAAAATGACAATATACCACGTCGGTGACTAGTGCAATTGCGATTTTTTTTTAAATTATCTTCTAAGCAATTTGTTATTTGTTTTACTCATTGTTTATGGAATTTTATTGTCAGTAAGTACCTATAACAATTTAGTAATGACTATGTAATTATTGATTCACAGTCCCTCTTCAATAATCATTGAATTAGAGAATTCACTCAACGAAATAATCTCCTGTTTTTAAACATAAAATCCAAAATGGCAATTACAATTTGCCATCATGAGGAATTAAAATCCGCTTTTGTGCTCCCTTGAAATGTATTTTATTTAAATTTTTTCGTGTGTGAAATGGAGGTTTGAATTATCGACTCTCGAATCCAAGAACAATTCAAAAAACCATAAATTGGGACAGTACATTTTAAGTTTAAAACTGTCATGTCATCAACCAACTTCACTGGGGAATTACGGATTCAATTGCATTCCATACATTTTTTCGACGAAGAATTGCTAAACCCCGAGCTAAACCCCCATTTCGAGGAGCCAAAATTTCCCTGTGAAATTCTTTAGTTTAGGTACATGGATATATGACCCCGTTTTAGTGAACTCTTTCCGATAGGAAAATTTAAAAGAGTTCGGAGCACTGTAGTGCACCTCGGGGATTTCAGATAAGATACCTTGAAGAATGCGCCAGGAATAAATTTGAAAACGGATTCCAACTGAAATTCTTGCGGTTGATGTTCTTCTTTGTCTGATCCAACATAAGATCATTTTTGACTTACAATTCTGTTAAACCACGCTGGTTTTCGTACTTCGAGAAATTCACAAACCGTGTCTACGTTGTCGAAGAAATGCAAATATGAAGGCGCATTCGGCTCGCATGCGAAATTATAAGAATCGTTAAGTCGACCAGAATAAATTCAACGTGTTGCCGAGAAACAAGATGGAGTCCGGCATTTTCTACTTTTATGAAGATTTAAATTGCCGTAGCGAACTTTTTTATGGCACAAGACGCGGCGGCATTTAAAAGACCGCAGACCGTGTTTTAAATGCAGTTACGTGAACCAGACTTGGGGAGGAAGAATTGCTGATTAAAATTGGACGGCCGGTAAATATCCGGAATTAAATGCAATTAGGCGACACCGGGCGCCACTTAGAACTTTATTCTCTGCTCCTTCAGGAAATACGTTGTATAATAATCGATTTGGTGATCTCACGAGATAAGATTGCGTACTGTCGGCGTTAAGTTTGCTCTTTTTAGACAAACTTCCTGTGGATAACGCAACGCGCTGAGCAGATAAATCCCAAGTTCCAATGGTGTTTGTTCCTTATGAACGCGAATTTTATTCGTATCGGACTTGAACCCGGACCCGGTACAAAGTAGCGTTCGGTACTATTTGCAATTATGAATGAAAGCTTTTATTATTATTTATGTGATATATGAATGTCAAAGACAGCTGATTGGTTGACCTTTCTACTTGCTAACTGATGATGCCATAGGAATAGTTTTTGTGAGACCCATTCATAATTAGCGTGCTTGTGAGGCTTGCGAGGAATTTCCTTGTACTGTCGACCGTGGCGGGTTTGCTCGCCAATTTTAAATTATGCAAATTTATTCGTTACCTTTGCCTCGTTGTAATATTCCCGGGGTTCCACCTCAAACTAAATAAACATAATTTAGTTCCGTACGAGCTCTCAGCTGATTTCTGTAGTGCTCCTGTTAATAACAGCTGATTAGCCTTAAAGTGCTTTGTATTATCTCCATTGTTTATATGTACATTTCGCACCCAATTTTAGGACGATGAACTTTCTTTTCCAATTTTAAAGCGCTAAGCACTTTACACGTGTTCGTCCTGTCGCCTTTTCTTGTTTCACTTACGATAGTAGAAATTGGTGATTTGGTAATTGTTATCATTTGTTATCGTTGACGCGTGGAGTAAATTTCGTAACGCCTCAAAAATACCACCCATGCCCTGAAATTTCCCATCGAGCACCTATTTATAACGTTTCGCCAGTCAGGGCCCTTTAAATTGTCCAAGAATGAATATAAAAACCGTAAAGTACCTGCCGCATACCTGTTGATATTTAAGAGAATTCTTGGTTTTATAACAGGTAGATTGTACCTGCTGCATCCCTCCACATATATCCACTGACCTACCTTCAGCTTCTCGGAAAAAGGCAATAAGATCTTTTGACTTTGAAAACACTCATTGTTAAATTTCTGCTTATGGTAAAGCGCAGGATAAACATTTCTCATCTTTTGACATTACAATATGTAGTTAACAATAGGTGCATGTAATACCTCCGAAAATACCGCTCTTGTT